ATTTGGAGGAGGTTAGGAGGGTTTTCACAGGGGCGTCAAACAGTTGTGTCCTTTTTGCAAAGTCGAAACTGATAAGCTGGTATTGCTTATTATCCGTCAGCATTTGTGGTAGGTCCTAATAATTCTGCTGGTTGTGATTTTCGTCAGAATTCCGCTTGACTTTTTATCTACACTTAATTGGCACTTTTTCGCCCCACTTAGTTTGGGAAATTAATCTTATTTTCCTAGTGTTAATAGTTCTGTTGAGTCACTTGTCTTCTTGTCCTTCTTTAGCTTGAAGAAGAGAAGGCTTATGTTGCGCAACTGAAGGATCAGTTGGAAAAGTCACAATCCGCTTGCAAACGAAGTAAGCAAAATCTTGAAGCTGCAGAGGATGAAGCTAGCAATCTCAAGACTCAGCGCCGGCGTCTTCAGCGTGATCTCGAAGAAACTACTGAGCAAAAGGAGGCCATTGAACGAGAGCTCCAAATGCTTCGAGCCAAACTCAATCGGTACGTTCATCTTAGCTCCTTGGCACATTTAATGCCTGGCATTGCGAACACCATGTTTTCAATTAAGTAACTCCTTGTTAGTCAATATCGTAGTCGCTCGTGTTCCCATAATTACAGTTCGGTTTTCTAACCTCCCAAGATCCATTGTTGCATACTAGATGTCATACTGAACACTGATTTATCTAGCTTTACACATATTTTATGGGATGTGGTCTACGCTGTTTTTCTCGCTTGATGAAGCATTTTACCTAGCACTAATTCCTGTTTATTCCTTCTCGGATATTTCTACACGCCACCGGTGTGCACTCAGTCATAAAATCACGCTACTCCGGTGCAAAGGAGTTGTGTTAGCTCACTTCTAAGCCTGTGTTTTGATAGTTTGCCTTAACAACCCCCTGGATGATTCATGTGACGTCTTTATTCAAAGGTCATATACCTCATTGTGAGAATATGTGTGTGCGTGTGTGTGTGGTTAAGTTGTAGCCTGCGCTGAGTCACACATTGTATTGCATTATTAATGCTTATTTGAACAGCCAGACATGGTATGCCGGTGGTCAATTCGTTCCACTTCCTCAGTCGCTATTCAGGTGAACGACCCTCCCGCTGTATGATTTTGATTTACTGCATCTGTGTTCAGTAAAATTATTCCCCATGTTGATTTTATAATGCCATTGTGTTCAGGAATTCCTTGATTAGCGCTGTTTCTTGAAATATGCCAGCCATTTTCGCACCCTATTATTTTATATGCATGTGTGAATTTGCTTATCCTAACATCAATTAAGGAAATGTGCGAAGGAACTGCTAGCTTAATGTGATTCATGCAGTGATTTTTCCACTCGCTACTAACAATCCTTCGCATTTTTTTCTTTAATTTTCCTCGTGCACACATTTACCTACATGGATATGCTGTGCATTGGGAATTCCAGTCTCTCTTTCCGAACGATGGACATGTTCAATGGCGACTCGGACCAGGAATCCTTTGATATATTGTAATTTTCACATCCGTGTTCTTTTTGTCGTTGCTGCTGTTGCTACTGCTATTTTTGTTGCTGTTTTGTTTTTGTGTCTTTTCGTTTCATTTGTGTTTTGTCCCACCCGTTTGTTCTTGAAACGAGTCTGGCTTTTCTTGGTGGTGTGGTTCAAGACTGGTGTTTTGTCGGGTGAAACCGTAATCTGGCTTATGAATTAATGATGTAATTTTTCAGCTGCAAATAAGCTTTTTTGAGGATGTCATAATGACATTTGAGATTCTCCCGGACCTATTAATTACATTCCAGTCCAAGAACCATTGCCGTATAGCTCCCTATGCTTATTCTTAGTTTGAAAAAATACCTGGTGTATTCCGCCTTTGCCGAATGAGTATCCTAGAACTCCTATGAGGGAGATTGAGTCGCCTTAACACCAAAAAACGAAAATTTGAAGACGTCGTTGGGTGTGACTAGTGAGCTGCGAACACAAGAATCGCTTCGTCTCTCATTATGCCTTATGAAGAAGTCCCAAATAGCAGAAGTTTCTACCTCGTCGTACAGAGTCGTTAGTCACATGCTGCCCCCATTGCTCAACAATGGCTGTATTGTTGTTTGTGTTGTGTAGTGTTTTTCATTTATTTTAGACCTTTATCTTGTGCTGAAATTTCACGTGGCTGCGGCCTTTTCAGCTTGCTTGCTTCACGTATACAGATTACCTCTTTTAAGCAATCGTATCACCGTGTTGTTTTTTCTTCAGTGGCGTTCGTGGCACCCGAATGGGCTCCGCTGGCGTCTCCCGTCCTTCGACCCGCACTGGTGGTGAAGGTACCCCTGAAGACCCCCAGTCCGCTGCCGACGTTGACACCTCTAACGCTGGTGACGGTGCCTCCAACACTAACAACTCCAGCAACAAGAATTCCACTAATTCCCCTTGAGTGATCTCCTGCTACCTGTCTCTCTGATAATTAACTTATCTCGCCACTGCCACCGCCTCCACGCTTTTCTTCAAACCGTTCCCCCCCACCTGGGTTCTGGGCGCAATGATACTCCCCGCAGGTGTCCTTTGGTTTGTTTCCCAACCCAGCCACGGTTGATTGTAAATGCTGTCATGGTTCCCGGGTCCGCTTTCGCAGATGTCGCTACAATTTATCATGTTATTCCCGTGTTCTCCGTCCCCTCCAGCGCCAGCAGCACCCTAAGAGATTTTCGCCCTCATTCCTCCACTCACAGGACTACTAATCTCTACTGCTGTCGGATTTTCTCAACTAAGGACCATCTTTGTGCCTCCCTCCATTTCTCTAACTAACCATTAACACAGCCGCAAAAACGTCTTTATTCACACTTTTCTACAAGAAACATGTTTTCGTGAGGCTGCCTTGGTTGTCTGCCGTCAATTCTCAATTGTTGGCAAGCTGTTTTTTTGCTCATGACCTGACTCGACAAAATTAAGTACATCTTGTTTAAATCCTAAAAATTGGAGGAGTAAATTGAAAATTCAGTGAAACTATTTACAATAACCCTTTGCGTAAAGAAAGTTGATACAAAATTTCTCTAAAATGGTCGTCCGCACAAGATCTGAAATGATGTTATGGTTAATTTAAAGAGGCAAGGCATTTTGGCTCCTTAAAAGTCCATGTTACGTTAGATTGAGTTCTTGTCTAAAAAAGGGATGCGGGTTCGGTCCTTGCAGTTAGCTTGAACTTGAGCTGTCGACGTTGTAAATTAGGAACGGTTGATAGATAATTCACTGTAAATGTGCAGTTTTTGACTGTAAATGGGAATTGCGATTGTCCATATGGAAATTTAATATTTCCTAAAAGTAAGTACGGTATGGATTTTTTTCGAAAAACTGCAGCGTGTTACACTGTCGATTATCAAACCCAGGCTTTTTCTCATCAAAAACGAAAGGGGCATCAAAGGCTTATATTAGGAACCGGTGAAGTTGCACAAACTGCATTGAGTTTCAAGGTTTCCCGAATTTTATCAAAGTGATAATTTTTTTAAGAAAATAAATGGCAAGCCGGCTAAAGTAAGAGAAAAGCAAATTACGAAAATGAAGGAAGGCATTTTCTTCTAATAAAAGACGCTTAAATCCACTCAAAGAAATTAGTGCCCCTTCACCTGGTCATCTACAAAAAACACGCTTGGTATTTCGAGATAATAGAGATTGTCGAAAATAAAAGTGACAATATGTGCAGAGGACGCATCAAAATGTTAAGAAACTGTTGTTTCACAAACAAACGATATTCACTTACAGCATTTGCAACATCGACAGTTAAGTTCCTCTATGTAAAGGAAGAATTAACAGAAATCGCTTTGTAAAGGCTGTGTGACGGTATGGTGTTTGTATCTACTATAAGGCATAGCAGTTCGACATTCGAATTGTCCACATGCATGGATTCTACTTTGATAAAAACAGTATACGCGAAATGAGTATATAAGAAAGATTGAAAATTATGGAAAGTTAGTTCATCTCAGTGGTTCTAGTTGAAAAATGCAATACAGTGCGACAAAGTAATGATTATTTGAAGATCAGATATTGTCAAGTCCATTGCATAAAATCCCATTTATGGCAAATCAGGATAGTTTCGTGTCTAATGGCATACGAAGTGCAGCCATTCATATATTCCCACTTCGGGGCATTTGATACTATTCACTCTATTAGTTGCTTCATACAAGTCATCGATACTCATTTAACTCATAAATATCGTGCCTGATTTCAAGGTTTAAGTATTGAACCTGCGTGACTGAATTTTTGGGTTAAATCAGACCAAACGTATTATTTCGTTCAGATGAAGTAGACATTCGATGTATTTTTCTTAGAGGCCATGCTATAATGGCGTTACTTTAAAGTAACGTAAACAATCCTAATTTTGTTCTACTACTAAGGCCATGGTAATTGAACGTGTAAATGTAATTAATGCTCTTCAGCTGCTAAATTGATTGTTGCGATGTCAGTCAAAAGCGTTGGTGCGAATTGGTACCTATTATTATCGCTGGTGAATTTAAAACAACACAAAATATTAACAAATTAGCTTAATATAAGCGTAGTAAGGACGAACTTTAAAAAACACGAAACAAAACTACACTTTTTTTACCAACATTAGTTAATTACATGTTAATTTATTAAATTCGGATTTAGATAAGGGGCTGTCCATAATCTAACTGATATCTACTTAGCTGCAAGAAAGATGCTCAGCTAGAATTTATTAAGTAATTGAAAAGGAAAATAATTATAATTAATGTACAACATGCGATTATTTTGATCAAGAAATGACTAAAAGTTTTGAATTTTTATAGCAGACTTAATATTTATTGGTAAATGGTTACATTAAGTAGGCGGCCTTTCTAAAATGGAGGTCAAAGGTGTATCGTTATTTTGGCTAGCGGAATATTTATTGTTTTCCAAAATATCAGTTTCTTCATACTCGCACTTGTAATCCAAAATAAAGGTGTGTGCATTTACAGCAAAAATAAATACAGTGGTTGTGTGTGATATACATTAGTCTTAACAACTCTTAATTGGTTTACTCTCAGATTACCAATTTGTTACCTAGACGCTTGAAAATTTTATGTAGGTTAGTATTCATATTTGCTGCCTTTTTAAAAAAAATGTAGACTAATGACAATAGCTTTCCGGTGTTTTGCTATACTTAATTCCTTTTTTGCCCTGATGTGTTTAAAGTCGTTCCTTTCACACCAGTTATGGATTCAGTGATTATCCGAATGCCGACGTAAAGAGCCAGCAACCTGCTCGACCGATTTCAGGATGTCAAAGTGCACATCTTTAACTAACCTTAAAGATCAGTCTCTTTACACTGACTTCAACGCTACAAAAAATATTTTGAAACAACCGCACAGGATATCTTCAAGCCCTTCGCTTTTGGCAACACTTTTTAAAGAAAATGAACGAAAACCGAACATTCTAAACCCCAGAATCGAGAGTTGTATATCAACTTCTTCGCATAATCTTCTTATGGCTACTGCCTCAAGGCCTTCTTTTGGTGGACCTTTAAAAATAACCAAGAAAGGGCGAAATCCGGTTCCACCCCCACCTACACCACGCCATATATACTTCGACTTAAGTACATTACCATCGGACGACTGTTCATTTGCAACCAACCCTAATGACTTGAACAGTCTTACCTCTTCCGATTGGGGAGATGAAGCCTGTGTGAGTTTTTTTACTACTCAAGCTATATGATCCTGCAATACATGTTTAGCTTTTTCTACGCTTGGCTTTAGGAAATCGACAGAGAGCGGTCACATCATGTACAGTTGCTTTTTGATGCTATTGATCAGATGCTTTACCAACCAGATTTGTTTTCTGAGTCAAGTCAAGTCGGCAGTGTGAAAGAAGGTAACCAAGTATCTACGGTTGTGTATTTATCCATACATTCTCTCATCCATGTTTAACGCATTCAAATTTATTTCTCTACCGAAATCATTTCTATGCAACATTGTCTCATGTCCAAAGCTCATTTTCGCACTGGTTTTGGCGATTTAACTATTTGAATATGTGTACCATTTTTTATATACTTTAAATGTTGCAAGACCAAACTAATTTTTTTGCGTTAGATATCGTTCGTGCCTGATATAGCCAAATGGACGAGTTTCATTGTTTTGACTATTACTTGATCGTTTTTTTAAAAATACTTTTTTGGTCTGGCCTAAAAGGACATCGCATAAAATGGACACACGTATCCACGCAAATTTCTTGATGTTATCCCTTTTTAGTCATACTGGATGACATTTTTTACACCACCACTTCTTATTAGTCTGCATTCAAATGTGAATTCACTTGTAGACGATAGGTTGTATTCAGCAATACGAACTGACCCCAGAATTACAAATTTCACAGTTAGTTTGGAGAATACCGATGGCATGCCGCTAAGAGCGTCGCGGTTCCCAGGAATAGACACAGTTTTCAACTCATTTATTTTGTTTTTTTGTGTGTCTCAATTGTGTTTTGTGTATTAATAGTCCTGCCTTTCCTGAAGGGACCGAACTCGCGATTTTTGAGCACACAAAATCACTGTTTAATTGTACACATTTGTAAATGCCCGAGTTATCATCTATGGAATTGCAATATCTATGCCAGGATCTTAAATCCACTGATGTTTTAGGTATTCCCGACATCAAATTGGTGAAGCATCTGATGCACGAATGCAAAGAATGGGCCGCTAAATTCCCACACTTTCGTATTCAGGGTGTACACTTAAAACTGCCACACGAAAGACGAAGTTGCCAAATTTACCCAAATAAACTGACGGAGGTTTCTGGCGATAGTGCTAAACCATCGTTAATGGCACGGAAGACTCCAAGATCTCCAGAGGTCAGCAGGACCATTCCATCAATTCCAGATTCACAGAACGCGTCGTATTTGCGTTTACCCAGGTATAATTTCATCCTTTAACCCGTTATACTAAGCTGAACTTTAAGTAGAAGTTTTGACGTGTATGTGCAGTACACATGGCTTGCAATAGAAATTCAAATCTAGCTGCAAAATTATGAACGATGAAACAGCCTTGTTTCTGCACCTTGTCTTTCTTGAATGCCGTAAGTGCTGTATCTAGTAATCTTATTCGTCCCATGGCTAATTAAGAATAACGGTGTCTGCTCAGATTAGGTGGCGATCGATTCTTCCAAACACAAGCAAACTCAGATTGCACTGGTTCACACAAATGTGGCCATAGCAGCGTCCTTCGCTCCCCTGGACCTCATTATCCATATTAATGAATTGTACATTCCAGTACTTCGGCGTTCGCTTTAAACTTGTGTCAAACAAGTTAATCTGTTCTTTTTTTAAGAGTTTGCTTGCCAAAATTTGAATTGCCATCTCACTATGCTGTTTATTTTGTGTCCGAATAAAGCGGGTTTCGAAATGATAGCAATTCCCTCCTAAGCGAACTTTTAAGACATACTAGGAACGCCCATTTAGGATTCATTAGATTTAGTATATGCCACACATTCCCATGGTCACAGCAACACGTGGTATCCAAATCACCAATAAAGTCGAGTTTGAAGCATCATCATTGTTAGTATGCCGAGGCTAAGTGCAGAAATGAGAACTGGTGCTGAGATAGGGGTGACAGTCTTATTTGTTTGTTGTAACATCGGGAAAATGACAATGCGGCTGCTAATTAACATCTAACCCAGCGAACGCCAGCACGGATATATTCGAGGTCTCCAGCATAACATTGCTTAACGTGTCAACAATGTTTATCGTAGATGCTCACTGGATGTGCACTTTTTTAAATCTATTTGGACTAGTTCCTCTCTGTTGGTCCAAGGTCAGCAGCTCCTTACACCCACTCCGGGTGATAATGTAAAATGGCCTAATCGCTCTCGCATAGGCCGACTTACCGTGCCGTTTAAAGCGAACAACCGTCAGGGCAACCAGTTAGTCCATGCTGCTCCACAAAGTAGATTAAATGCGCGCTCCCCACGCCTGAACAAGCCCCTCTCGATCCTCCTCGAAGAGAAGCCCACAATTTCGCATGATAGAGAAATGAAGCGGACGCAAAAAAACTCGTAGGTTTACCCAAATAGTTTTATGTTTAACTTTCTTTTGTTTGACACTTATCTTTGGGGAGGTATTCAGAAATGCTGTTGGGCTGGCTCCAGAGCTACTTTCTTACGTAAATACAAATCATGAGCGATTCCGCCAAATGTATACCTTTAAACAGATTATGCTCAAAATTTGAGCAAATAACAACCACTAAAAAGTAACAAACACACAAAACTTTTAAAGCCCTCCCCAATCTACATGCTTACTGTGGTTATTGTTGAAACAACCAAATATAAGACGAAGTAGAAAAGCGAGTACTAGGGTTTCAATTATACACATATAACGTATTTTTAAAAAAAAACCTGTTTTTTTTTAGGAAAGGTTCTTTGTGCCCTGCTACTCACGGTGTACTCCAACATGGAAGTTATGGCACTGTTCAAAGTCGAACAACTGCAGATGCAATATTTGGTGCTCAATCCCCACAGAAAGCCATTTACATGGGCAGTAGGGCTGCGGAGTTATCCGAAACCCTCAGTATTGCTGATAACCACGCAGTCTCGTACAAGGAAGCTTTGTCACAGGCATTAGTAGAATTGCTTCTCAACGACACTCTTCATGCACTGAAGAATGCTGAGGCCTCCAAACGTTAGTTATCTGTGTTTCATGTAGAAATGTTTGTGTACACCAATAATAAGTCTCGTTTCTCTAGTTTTAGCGGACAATATGTCATCAACTTCGAAACTGCCTCTTACCGTTTCGTCCAACTTGATTAAAAGTCTTCCAACACTTGATCCTGGTGTGACAGAAAGAAACAGTGAAACACATCAAACTTTAACACCAATCTATTTTAATTCCACGAAAACACCACCCCCTTCCCAATTACGAGAAAGGTACGGCTTGGTGAAATGTTTCCAATGATTTTACTGTTTATTCCAAGGATCAAACACATAATGGAAAAGCGTCTCTGTTGTAGCAAAGGAAATGAGAAATCACCTCGGTTAGCCTCATTACGTTTTGTATCGCAAGCGCACCCCGGCGGATGATTTTCGTTTGTTGGGCTGACGCGGAGTTAGGCGCGGAAAACTGCTTTTTACAGCGTTAGTGCGAAAATTGAGGCAGCCTCATGATAGTTCTTGCTTTTGTCTCACACGGAGAGCACTAGACCTTCCTGGTTCCTATTTTAATCTCATTCGTCCATAGCCAAAAACACTTGCTCAGAGCACCAATACTCGAGCCCCACCTTCTCAATCCTGTAAGAAGGCAAGACCTCGTGCAAAGAGCATGATCTTCTAAGAAACAGGTCAAGGAACATGTCAAACTGACCAGATTATATATATCGGACGTCAGTATGATGTGGAGTGTGTGATTACGTAAATGATGTAACAATCGAAAGGATGCGAAAAAAGATGTGAATAAAACAGTAATAAGCCTTGATTTCACGAAGTTAAATGTCTTAGAGAATACTGTCATTCCCAGCATTTTCGTAACAGATTTCTACATGCACGGCAATCGGAAGTATAGTCTCACTCATGAAAGTGGTCGTAATGCATTGTCTAATTTGTTGCTATGTGTCTTTGCTATGGCTGCCTATAACACGGCTTGCTCGATGATGTCAGAATGAACCTCTGTAACTTCCTAAAGTCATTACTTGAATATATTGAAGTGAAAGCCAGGTAAATACATAATTCTAATAAAGAGGCCAATCTTATTTGTTGTAGAAGTCCAAATTCTAACCAAAACTTCCTACTCTCTGGAAGGTCCTGCCATCCTCAGATGGACGGGGTCGGCTTGGCAGCCACAGGTTCATCCTTTGGGGCTTCAATCACCAAGCTGTCTGACGCCTCTGGCAATACATATTCCCAAAATTCTCATTCTGAACCCACAACAGGGTTTCCTGCCACCAATGGGCGAAAGAGTACAGTTCGAACCCGACACACACTTCCTCCAATTGCGCCAAGTAAGACCACCCCTCAGATTGCACGACAGCGGAGCCGAACATCCAGTGGAGTCAATTGGCTCCCGCCACTGTTCCCCACCACCACGGCTCTTGGCAATGTTTGTACTGGTAGTGACGCAAACTTTTATTATTCGACCCAACTGTCCCTACGTGGTGTGAACCGGGAAGCAGCTGTGGAGCACTCGTCCCTGTTACGAGGGCCGAAAGCAAACGAAACGACGCCAGCACCGTCACACCATGCTCTGAGCGTTCACCAAAACCAGAAATGTATTACCAAAGTGAGTAATACCAGTTATGGCGTCAACTTAATTGTTATAGCACTTTTGCAGTCTTCAAAGAAAAGTGAACCGATGTCTTGTCATAATTAACTAAGAAGTCACCCACAGAAAACCAATCTAGAACGAGTAGACTTTTGAGCTTAACTCACTTTAATCAATGATCGGTATCTGCAGGTTCATTTATGATGGATTGTAATGCAAAGTAGGCTCACAGACTTTATTTTGTAACACACTATGAGGATATGCTTTAAAAAATCAACTTGAGGAAATGTCAGAAAATATTTTCAGTGCGATTCCAAAGCACCCATGGGTGTCCTGTTTTCAAAGTTTGCTAACATTGAATTCAAGCATTTATGTGGGGCGTGCTTTTAATTTAGATGTTTGTGGCATATTATTCTCTTTTATCACCCACATGTGCAAAAACACACGGGTTTTCAATGTTACCTAATTTATTGGCAAAATAATGTCTCCTATAACTTGAAAATTTCAGGTTACCTTTTGCACATTTACACGTTCAGTCGATAAGTTGAATTGCTATTTCTACGTACATAAATACGTTTAGCCATGACACAGCACATTTGACGCTTGCCACTTTAAGACTGCAAGTTTTCACTAGGAAACGAATTAATGAACCAAAAGTTACCAAACCCGTACATCTGGTTCCCCATTGTTGCGCGTGGACATTAATCTATGCGTTTATTCCTAATGATGAGAAATCTGACCTCTTAACCAACTTCGATAATGTAGTGACACAGTTACTCTGTAGGTCTCTAGCATGGGTTTCTTCAAAGGCATTAAATTTCACGAGCAACCGAAGACAATCATGTTCTGGTCTTAATGTGCTCAACTAAATATTGTGGAGTTTATTGCAAACTTCTCCTCAGACGTAGAAGTGAACTAAGTTTGGGGGTATTAAAATGGCATAGTTGGGCGAAATTTCCTGGCCTCCAGCATTGAACCGAACGTAAATACCCTGAGAACTTAAACAACGACTGTATTAGCTTACCAAATATGTTAAACGAAAATATGAGTTTTTCCCCAAATTTTAGCTTTCTTCTTGTAACACCAAAACGACACAACTCCAGTACTCTGTGTCAATCTCATCCCATCGACACTGATGCGCATTATTTCTTAACCTACTTCCCTGTCTTTTGCGACCGTAAGTAAATTGCTACGTTCTTTTACTTCCTTATAATCAGTCTTTTTTCGATTTTGTTTTCGGGGTTTTACCTTGATCTGCACATATCCAAAATTGAAAAAAAAATCAGGTTTCTTCACCTATAATGGATAGACTTTAATTAAAAAAAACCCTGCAATCTCTGGAATCTCGTTTTTTGAGCTGAGCCCGAAGCCCTTTACTGTAGAACAGACCTGCTTAATTTAGCCATTAAGAGTCATTTTCATTGACGGATTTTCAATCATCCCACGTAATTATTTAATCATAAGAACACTACACCTAGACGTGCACGTTTTCCGTATCACCGCGAATGCAAAAAGGCACTGATTGCAAGGTGCCTGAGTTCCACCACCTTCACTTGGGGCGTCCGTGAGGAAAGTGAATTTTTCATGCGGTCGTTGCCCATTGGAACACGGAAAGTCAACTGGGCGTGGCTGTCATTCAGTACACTTTTCTTTTCGTCAACAGGAAACATTATTTTTGTAGTGGTTTTATTCCGCTAAACGATGTAATTTCATGTGTAATGTTTTTCAGAACAGTTAGTGGTTCGTAAAACTGCGCTTGACGCTGACATTATAGCCCAAATAATTCCTATTAGTAGCTTAACAACTACTCCTGGACATTTATAGTGTTTGTTGGTTGACAAAAGATGAAATGACAGTAAAATCAGAGGACCGGATTCTGCCGAAGAGGTGCAACCTAGGCGACCTTTTTAAATTGTCATATCCCATACGCAGTTCTGACTGGTAATTGAAAGGTCGAAAAGGGTAGACTAAGTGTTAATAACGTATAAAACTGTGATATATACACTAGAAATTTTATCACCCTAGCAACACAGGAAACCCATTGTGTTCAATTGCATCTTAAAGATCTTGTTGCATTTTTGCAAAAAGTCGTTATCTATCGGTATCTTTTGCGTATGGATTAATCTAAGCACCATGACCTCGGAAAAGGTTTTTGTTTAATGTATGTATGTATCGATAAACGGAGACACGCACCCTTACCCCTTATAAAGTATTTTGGAAAAAAGACAACTTGGGTCAAATTTGTGTCAAACTGTAAACGCGTTTGAAGTGTTGGCGTCACGGTTAGTTAAAATTCGCATTAGATCAGGGAAAATGTGCTAATCGTGGTCACAGAAGTAGATCCCGACCGTAAAACCGAAATTTGGTATAGGACAATCAGATTTGCGAAGGGCCGAAATACATGCAAAGCCGCCTTGCTTCATTTTCGGACAACACTGATTTCAAGTCCCTTTTACCAATGTTTAAATATCATGCAGCATGAAGAGCCATTTCGTCAAAAATATTATGGGTCTAAGTAGAGGTCGAACCGAAGGCAGATCGAATTCTTAACCATATACTTAGGTAAGAGGTCAAATATCTCGGTATGGCAAATAATTTATCATGTATTGGTGAAAGGCCAGGTCTTAGAATTTACATCCCGTGAATGTTTTAAAAGTAACTTTTCTCTGGCGTTGCTATTTCACTCCAAATTTTATAAAGGTTAACGAACTTACAGGTAATAGCGTAAAATACTTATGTAAACCTTAGCTATGTTGCATGTTCACGAGTAGGATCACTTTTAACTTCCCATAACTTTCCAATTTCAGACTACGTGATGCGCTGAGGTGACGATGTGGGGATTTGCCTTCAATTTATTATACCCACCTACTTCGCTCACCCGGTTAACTACTTTGTACACATAAAACTAATTCGTTGTCCTTGAGTTTATTTTGATGAGAATATAACTGTACATAGATTGCAGAACTTCTTTGCACTATCGCGGGTCCGGTGACTCCAATTCACTGGCTTGTGAGGCCGTTGTTTTAAGTAAATTTTTGATCTTGAATTGGAGGTTCTCCATCTGTGCATCCATTTTTCCTAGTACCAAACAAAACATTAAGGAAAAAACGCTTATGAAAACAGTGCAGGCCAAGTACTGGTGTTTTTACCCAAATAAACACACTTAGCGAGAACTACATCGGAGATAGTGAGGGCAGCTTGGAGCATCCTGTGCTGCATCGGGAAAAGTGAACACCTGGAAGTGACCAATCACTACAAGCGTGGTCATCAGGAGCAGCGATAAACACAAATGAGCGGTTTATGGGCTTAGATAACTTTCGTGTACAAATTCGCAAACCGGTAATTATACGTTAGTACAAAATGATGTGAATTATAGCGCCCGTGTAGAGTCCACCAGTGGCGATTAACACATGCCTGAAATCTCACCTGCCAGAATATCAGACACACCAGGATAAGAATTTCATACTTTCGCATTTGATTAAAGGTGGAGGATTTGAGCCTTCATCTCGGTGGATGAAACCAGTGACTTGAGGTGTCTGTCCAGTTTTGGAAGATGTAGCAAATTGATCATTTTATTAACAAATTCCCCTAGCTACCAATGAATCGCGCTGTAAATTTTAGCTACATTTCAGTAACGTGCCAGTAACTTACTAGTGGGAAATTTCATGCTCCTCGGACTAAAACACTTACCATAAATGTCAAGACATAAGTTGTTGGCATGACGTACGGACTTTAGCAACGTAAAAGTGCCATGCACGATACCAATATTTGAAAAAAACAATCTTTGAAATATTTCCTTATCCCTGAACTACCCACTAGAAAATAAATCTCGAAAATTAGGGAATAAGAAAAACATGTGATTAAAAAGGATATTTTCTTTGACGTAGAAAGCTTTGACCTCATGCAGTGTATTTTTACTCGTAATGATTCTTCTGTCAATCTAAAAGAGAAGGCGGCTGTGCTTTCAATGTTGCGATGGTTACCTCAGCAGACGATATTTCCAGCTGCCGAAACAAATCATCCATTTCGGGCCAGTTATGAAGAGCTGAACGAAACATTTAAGTATCAGACAGGGCATCTCAAAAAAAATAATTAACGCGGCATCTTCAGACTTTCAGAAAAGGGAGCTCACAATAGTAAAACATCTGCAAATATGTATAGTTCTTAGGCGTAAGTTTAAATTACGATGCAAAAAGACGACTACAACAGCAAAATTGCGTAACAAAAACTGAAATTAGATAGATTCATCTGACGTCAAAACAAACTACAGAACTCTATGATTGGTACTTATTGTAGGCAGCCACAGAAGGAGTCAGTGGTTGTTTCCAAATCAAGCAGACTTGAATTCTAAATTTCGATAGTCAAGGAGATAATGCCAATATGTCAGGCATGAATTACAAAGAAAAAAAATTTACGAAAGATTCTTTGAAAATTCCCGTTTCGATTTGGTAGTAATTTCGATAACATCGAAAAAGCATTGAGGCATAATTGTCATGCGGTGATATTTAAGTTAACGAGCAAATAGGGAGTCCGAAGGAAGCAACTTCTACACATAAAGCAAAAAAACAGGTCAGCGTGAGGTTATGATAAATATACAGTCAAAACAAATGACCATGCACACGTAGCTTACTTAATGTATAAAATATTCTGCAAAGTGGGGAAATGATTCATAGTTTGTTTTCATAGACCCAATGGAAAGTTAAAGCAATAAGCTCTAGAAAATCTTATGATCGGGTTAAATGAATACAAATCACAAGAGTCAAAAAATGTGAACAGTAGATGTAAGCAAAAGAACAGATATTTGGTGTAAGTAATCATCATTTTATTATAACTCGTACACATTCATTCTAAACAGCTAGTAATGGTTTTAGTCAGAACAAGAGATGAATGTTATGTTGA